TGCTTCAAATATTGTAGCTGTGCTTCAACATTTGCATTTTACACCTATATTCCTTATTGTTTCGGGCTGAGCTCGGTTGACGTGTCGGACTGTGGATCCGACGTTTCGTGGTTAGCGCTCCGTTACCACCAAATAAACAACAACAACATTCGCGCTCTTTACTTTGGAGATTTTCAGTGAAATGTTATGAGTTTTATGGTGTAGTTAAAATTGTTGTTCAAATGTTTTGCCATGTCAATAAACATCTCTCATCGTACTGTATGTTATGAAAAAAGATGATAATATATTATTTGTATATGAGTACACATACATCGTAAAAAGTAGTTTATGGAAAGTAAAAAGTTTCAATAAAATACAGCAAGAGGATAACTCAATAAACGTAATTAACTCTAGAGTAAAAATGTTCTCTGTTATTAAGTTTTAAGGAGGAGTAGTTATTGATTTTTGAAGGAATTCATAGGTCAGAAAACACCACTAAAATTTATACCCAGAAATTTACATATCTCTGAAACAATAGATGAAAATACTTTTACTGTTGATATAGATTTTCACTGTATGTGGTTTTCAAAATGTAGAAAGAAGAGTTTTCTAAAAAAAGAAATGAATCAAACAAAAAATAATCTGCAGACTTCGATACAACAGAAAGAACATTTCAATGATGAGAGCTGATACGAAATTTCTTTTCTTAAAGGCTTACAGTGTAAGGCAACAGAGATTGTTATATCGCAGTATCTGGAACAAAAACTATTGTAATAGCAGATGTAGCCATCAGTAAAAAAAAATCATAGATGTGAGTCGTTTTTTTTTCTAGTAATATTTAATGATATAAATCAAACCGAGTATCTTAAACAATATGAATCATTCATAAAGAAATTTTCTTCTTTGAAAACAAACAGAACATCAAAGAGTCCAATCTCAGTATGTTCCAAAGAAATACTGGGAGCTACAGAAAGTCATTTATACTCTTTGGAAACTATGATCAAGTTCGACATACGTGTGCCGAAGACAGTATTTTTTTCCAGCTTCAATACCCTATCTGCTTCTCTTATATCTCAACAATAGCCCAGGAGCAACGTTTCCATAATATCAGGCTTCTTTAGAGAACATCCATCTCCTTTTGTGTAGCTTTCCATAAACTAACTAACGTCTTAGGACTAGAAATTCACATCACACCTTAAGCTGATCAAAGACACAAAAGTCCATTTGAGTTGAGTCGGGGAACTTAAGAGACATGTGATAGAACAGGATTCTTATGAATCCAACCTCTTCAGCCATCTTTCTCATGAAAACAGACATTGATTTTCAGATGTGGTTGTAAGTTTGCAAAATTCTAGGTTGTGAGTCTTCGTCAATTTCTAACACTTATTTATAATTTTACTAACGAGATATATAGAGGTACACAACTTCATTGCAATATTGTGTGGGTCTTTCGTAATCACGACCTTTATTTTGCAGATGAAGGCTTTGGTCCTGTTTAGACTAACGCGTTGTTTTGGAATTCATTGCTGACCTAAACGTTTCCATAGAAAACTTAGTATATCCTTTTTTCTAAACATTGTTTCCTTTAGACCTATACTGTTTAACAGTTTTACTTTATGAACATTTCTCTAAGGTAAAAAGCACTAAGATGCTGCAAGTTTTTGAAGCATTTTATGAATCCGGTCAACTCCGTTTACTTGTCTAACGTGTGAACATTCTTACAAAATCTCAACATTGCAGGGAAAGGGTAGCTAATTGACAAACAGTTTCATAATATGTCAATGACCTAATATCTCGATGCAATAAAACCTCCTAAACTGAGAAAATCTTTGATACTGATACAGAAATGTAATCTACATATTTAACAGTGAAATTCCACTTATGAATAACAAAATATGGCCAACATTTTAAATGTTAAGATTTTTCTAATATATGTATCACAATGGAATATGTGTACTCCGCCTGTCGCCGGGAATCAAACCCCAGATTTTAGCATTGTATGCCTGTAAACTTACCGCTGACTCATCGGGAGACTGTTAATAAGATTTATTTAGAGAACATTAATGAATTGATACATAAAAAATTCTAAGTGAATTATATATTTATATTTCCATAAGCAAATAAGCTATAGCGTGATAAAAGCTGAAAATATGAAAAAAGTGGAAACTATTGCAATCAGGTACAAAAAATACGTGGTCAGTCCAAACGATGTTTGTCAGGGCACGATAAAGTTCGTTTGACCATGTCATAAATCTTTTCCTCTTACAGCAATTTTAAGCCTTTTTTTGCTTTAAAAATGCAACATTATGCTCGATTCACTATATAAATATATATATATAAATGCTTCACACGAAACAAAATTTCAGAAACCTTTCAAGCAACCGATCGCTGGATTGAAGTTTTTCTTTCACAAACTGCAGTTCTTCTTACATACAAGTCTGTTTCAATAATCTTTATGTTTACGTGACTGAAAAACATCGGAAAAGAAAACGTTCCCTAAAGTATACCAATTATTTTTTTAGATTTTGGCACGCAGTTGTTTTTTGCTGTAAACGTTGATAGCATTTTGCTTCTTAAGAAGTAGAAAAAAGTAAAAGAAAAGAAAACCATTAAGAACTTGTGCGTTGTATTAATATGTTTAATAATGAATAAAACTACCTTATAATCCTTAAGGATAAGACAAGTGATTCAGAATTGTTTTGCAAAACGTGTATGAAAGATTCCTTTTGAACAATTTCTGTGTACATCAGGTTTCTATAATGCAATGGCCAGGTGGTTAGGGCACTCGACTCGTAATCTGCGGGTCGCGGGTTTGAATCCCCGTCACACCAAACATTCTCGCCCTTTCAGTCGTGGGGGCGTTATAATGTGACGGTCAATCCAACTATTCGTTGGTAAAATAGTAGCCCAAGAGTTGACGGTGGGTGGTGATGACCCTCTAGTCTTACACTGCTAAATTAGGGACATCTAGTGCAGATAGCCCTCGTGTAGCTTTGCGCGAAATTTGTAACAAATCAAACCAACTCTATTAACGAATAGTTGGATTGCCTGTCACTTTATGAGTTATGTCTTGTTTGTTTGTTTACAGCAAAGCTATCCATCGCCGTCTCTAATTTTGAGGTTCTAACCAGAGGGAAAACACCCAGGTGGCAGCACTCACCGCCAACTCTTGGGCTACTCTCTATCAACGAATAGATGGATTGACCGTCACGTTGTAACACACCCCATCATCTGCAGTTTGCGAGTAGAGTTCCCGCGACAAAAAAATCATTAATAGCAATACAATCAACAAATCATCAATTTCAAAAACAAATCATAAAATGCACGTTGATAGTTGTACTTTCCTACACGTTATGTTAACCTGTGTTTATGGAAATGTTTCAAACTGTTTGAGATGGATGGACTATTAAGTATGAATTAAAAAAGTGTTGAAAAACGTTTTTTCAAGTTATTGCATGATTGATTATGGGCCATAGACTAGAGAAATATATAAAAAACTTATTGAGTTGATCCCGATAAGGATCATATCAACACACTGCAATACTGCTTAAGATGAATGAATATCCGCTTAAGAAGAAAAGAAAAAAAACCTTACAAAAATATACTGACGTGAGTACTTTTATAAAAAAAAGAAATAATGTTACAAGTTCGTATTGACATCAGTATGAGGTTAGGCCTTCAATGGAGAAATTCTACGAAACTATATTGAAGTTAAACCTATTTTAAAAAGTGGACGATGAAATATAGCAAGACTGAACTGAGTTATGTATTCGAATATCATAGTGTGATGAATACGTTAGGTCGACATTTAGCTGAAATGAAGATAAAAATATGTTACAGGCCAATACGTACGTGCTCGTCGATTACGGCGGGGTTGAGGATATGTTACACATGGTTTGAAACTATGACGGTGAAATGAGAATGAATAACTTACCTTTTGTCTATATATTGACAATAAGCTGTAACTTAAGGTAACTTAAAATTTATGTGATACGCCTGTGCATAACAAGTAAAATAAATATACTTTTAACCTGTCTCAGATGCTACTAACACTAAGTAAGAAAAATAAGGTTTACTTATTTCTAGTTTCATGATCTTTATCACACATGAAGATTGAACTTATTATTAAAAGATTATGAGAAAGTGTGTGCATTAAACTTAGAGGAAGAGTTTGGCGTAACCTAGTGCTGTATTAAAGATGGGAAGGTCCAAGAATCGAGCTGCGATATACTGCTGAAAACGTAATTTCACCTCCGAGTGGGTTGGGGGCTTGTAACTATAAGAGTCAATCCTGCTATTCGGTTAAAGAAATAACAAAATAAGGGGTGAATGTTGCTGACTGGTTGAATCACTCTCTGGTCTATGTTTCTAGATTAGGGTTGACTATGCCTGTACTTCAGGGATTCTCATCTGGTCATTAAACCTATGTGTCGTATAAGGTTCTTTTTATGTTGAAATATTGAACACAAATAAAAAAATTGGCATATTTGTGAAAATATAAAACAATATCCATCTATGTAGACATCAATTTATTTTACATACCTTCTGCATAACTATGTTTCAACATCAATAGATGTAAACCCTACGTAGCATCGATGTTTGTAGGATGCATTTAAATTAGTAGAGTATACATGTTTTCGATGCTAATGTGAAATCAATAACCATGATCTTATCATTTTCACGAGTGTTATTCATTACTTTCCGATTTCTCCTATGATAGACGAATACCAAATGGCAATACATTTTAAAAGATATGATGAAATTATATTTACTGGAGCAAGTAGGAAATAAATTAGCAATTATTTTTTTAAGTTGCAAAATATCAATATAAATGGTTTTCTTAAGGCATAAGAAAAGGTATAGTGGCACGTGAAGAAAAAAAAACGTTATATATAATATTGAGCCATCGTTCTCACAAGTTAAACTTAAACTCTAAAATATGTCTAATCTTTCCCTGAGCATAGACATAAAGGTTAGTTGAAGTACAAATTTGTCTGTTCGAAAACCATTTGACTGCTTACTTTTTGCTGGAGCATAGATATTCAAATAAAGACAGTCTTCGCTATAGTTCTGCAGGTATGGAGAAAGTCTTCGAAGATATGCTAGTCTTCCAGCAGGCATTCTTTGCAAAGCTTCAGTTGCATTCTGGACATCTGGGAATATTTGCGGGCAAACAGGGGCTAGTTTATTAGTCTTTCGGATACCTTTCCATCTAGTGAGGGTCACAGGAGGCATGAAACGTAATGATCCTATTGGTGGACTAGCGAAAGGAACTCCCAGAAAGACATTTACAGGCTGAAGTTGACGATTTGAAAGGGTTCGAATAATACCTCTTACGAAACCATATTTTGTTTGTACCGCACGTGTGACGCCCTGGTGGGGCTCACCTTGTAGACGTTGGAACACAGTCAATATTATCAGCAAAACAGTGCTGTTTATAGTCACCATATCTTACACGTGTATCCTTTGAGATGTTTAGTCTTAACACTTCGAGTTCCTTGTATTTAATGTTAGCTGACAACCCTTTGTAGCCGACTAGGTGAAATCAAACTTTACTCATTAGTGAAAAACCTTTACAATTTCGGAAATATTTTTTGTCCCACAAAACGGGTTATCTTTTTCTTTGCGGGAAGGAAAAGTACGATATTTAATTTAAACTAATAAAATTTAACATGTTATTGGATTTGAACTTGGCATTTTTCTCTACAATTCAGATCTTAATGATTTTGAGAAATGCTCAATAATATAATCCGAAGCATTCAACTTTGATCATTGCATAACTAAAAATAAATTTTGTTAAGTGAAAGTAGCACTGTTTATCGAAGTGAAAATCACGAACTTTTCAGTTAATAGGAAATAAACTATCTTGATGTAATCATGGCCACGAAAATCAATTTATCTAACATCTACCACCAGCGGATACACGTGAATTACATACTTTGTTAAGCCACCCAAATCAAAATTGAGCCAATCTGCAACTTTATGACCACGCATCGGGCCCTTCACACGGCTCAACTACTTACTGATGCTGGGAGTGCAGATCACAGGGAATTGTTCAATCTGCACAGAGAGTGCGCAAAAGAAGAGGACGAACCCAATTTGTGACATAGGGGAAAAGACGGTACAAGTGCCAGAATGAAACTGTAGAGAAGTTAAAAAAAAACAGAGAAGAAATTAAGAAAAATCTTACTTGTCTATAGTCAAAGCTTTTTTTTTATTTCTTTTACAATTTCTGATCTTCTAATTTAGGCAACATAATGCTAATGCTTAGAAAAATGAGAATGTTTCATCTACCATTTAGATGTCTCGAGACAAATATTAAGCGCTATCGATTCCGTAAAAGTAACGCTGCAGAGCTTGTCGGGAACTTTGTCATGTTCGTGAAAAAGTAATAGACACGTGCTGACCTTCAACGACGTAGTTTTATTCACAAACTCATTAGCTAAAAGTCTAGCAAGGAAGGTGCAAAAGCTTGTGAAACTAGTTTGTTTGGTGTCTTCAGTGTTATGTAGGATATCTTAAGAGTTTGTAGTTAAGCACAATGGGCGATCTGTGCTCTGCCCACCACGGGTATCGAAACCCGGTTTCTAGTGTTGTAAGTCCGCAGACAAACCGCTGTGTCACTGGGTTCTTAAGAGAATCTGAAAGTATCGATAACTCGGCGATCTATACAAGATACGCAATGCTACTTTAGGATAAATTCTGTTTTGTATTTTGCAAAGAGTAATAAAAATCATATGTTAAGACGCTGCCTTTATAAATTATTTTTTGTCAAAGAAGCATATAAATCGCGATTAAACTCCAATAATTTGGGCAAAATCGGATCAATAAATATTTTCTTATGATGCGTGATTTCCAACTGCTATGAATAAAAGGTAATAATTTGAAATATGTCGTATTAAAATGTTGGCCCTTTTTTTAAAAGTAACAATTAAAACATGTTATGTTTAATGCTTTGTTCTGAATGGATGTACATGGTTGAGATATGTGGTATTAAAATGCCGCATCTGGTTTTAAATGAATCAAGTGAAGCATGTTATATGTATAATACTTTGTTCTGGTTGGACGAATATGGTTGAGATATATGGTTTTAAAATGCCGCATCTGGTTTTAAATGAATCAAGTGAAGCATGTTATATGTATAATACTTTGTTCTGGTTGGACGTATGTGCTATTAAAAGGTTGCACTTGGTTTTAAATGAATAAAGTGAAGTATGCTACATGTTTAATACTTTGTTCTGAATGGATGTACATGGTTGAGATATGTGATATTAAAATGTTGCATCTGGTTTTAAATGAATTAAGTGAATCATGCTACATGTTTAATACTTTGTTCTGATTGGACGTTTATAGTGATGTTTACAACGTTGATAAATTGCATCTTGCGTTTTTCATACTTTGTCATAATGTAACTGAGATTAGTGCAACTGCACTCTCCACATTGCGGCTTCATGAAATGAAACTGATGTCACTTGATGTTATGTGTTCTCCAAGTAAAGTGTTTAGAGCGGTCAAATAATTCTTAAGTATCTTAGTTAAATATCAGATTAACGATCCTTAATTTTGAGGGTTAGTTGATTAAATAATAATAGATATTTATCATTGTACATAAAACACCAAAATTCTCTGCGTTTCTGATATTTATTCATAGCAATAAATGCATTCTGAGGTCTATCAGTTTGAATATTCAATGTAAAAATTCCTGAGGGATCATAGTAACGTAACAGTAATATATGATATTGTTACAGGTATTTTTTTACTAATTTAATAATATCTTAGAATCTATGAATATGAGATTACAGGTTATTTAGTTTGTTTGTTTGTTTGAAGTTAAGCACGAAGCTACACAATGGGCTATCTGTGCTCTGCCCACCACGGGTATCGAAACC